AGGCTCACAAGGTTTCAAGGAACACAAACAACAACAAGGTAAGTTATTCTATCTATACTTTAAGTTAAAATTGTTCCCCATGTATGCTAGATAGGAATATAACCTTGGAATTCAACTTTGCATGATAATTAGACAAACATAGATCCAAGGTTATTAGGGTTGCATGTACACTTAGGAAGTGTTAGAATGCTCAAAACCCATCAGTGGTATCAGAGCCTAGGCTTGTTTGTTTTTTATTTGTGCTTAAAAGTTGAAAAAAAAAGTCGAAAATCTTGTTGTCTGCGAGTGGACTCGTCGATTCTATAGGGGGGACTCGTCGAGTTCATGTGTATCTTCAACCAACTCGGCGAGCGAGTTCATGCACTCGGCGAGTAGGGTCGACTGATTGCAGAATTTCGATTTAGTTGCTGGAAATGAATTAGAAACACTACCCTAAACTGTTTTGGTAATTGAAAACTTGTTTTTGGTGGTGTAATGTCTTTGCTAATTCATTTACAACAACTAGTTATCAAAATTACAAAGTTTTAAGTGTAATTTATGAATGTGTTCATATTCATGTTCTTGTTCTTATGATGTTTTAGATGATCATAGGAATTATTTGTAACCTATGTGGTAGATTAATTCTTGATCATAATGTGTTTTAATGGAGTCCATAACTTGTCCTCAAGTTATGGAAAACCAAGAGTCACACTTGAATTAAAACCATTAAAAGAACACAAGAGTTAGAAAAATGAAGAGTCTTCATTTTATTACTCTATTAAACTCATAAGTTACAAGAAATGAAAAGTTTTGAAAGTTACAAAACTTGCCCTCAAGTTTTGGAACAAGTAAAGTTAAGTTAAAACTTTAAGTTCCAACCCCTAAAATTTTAAAAGTTAAAATTCAACCCTTATACTTATATTATGATGATTTAATAATTATTATATATATATATATATATATATATATATATATATATATATATATATATATATATATATATATATATGTATAAGAATAAAGTCGTCTTACCGCTAGTACGCCTCATTCACGAAGCCGGTCTATAAGGTGGGTATAAGGTTGTTGCCTATAAAATGGTGACTTAATGGGTGTCTACTCTCACCCACCGCTTGCTTGACTGGTGGAGGGTCGTTAGCCGAACGGGTAAGACAAGGACTTATAAACTCTCATTCAAAGTATGATGAATATTATAAAGTAACTAAATGTTTTATTAAATTCATAATCTTAGTTACTTTAGGAAAATGTGAATAAGGTGCTAATCCATGAAATTACACTTTACACTTTGTCTAAGTCGTTGGTGGAGCGTGTGTGGTTAACCGGCACACTAACTTGGACTTAACAAGGTAGGTAAAGGGTGACTTAAGGTTTATTATAGTATGGTGGAGCGTGTGTGGTTTACCGGCACATCGATTGAGTGATAAACTTTAAGGGTACCAAGTGATTTTCATGGTTACTTCACACCTCGTTTTGAATGGATCAGAAACATCAGGATGATTACTCGCTACGAGGACAAAGAATATGTCCTTGACAAGGAGCTTAAGGAAATTGACGAGTCCACTGCAACTCCCCAAGAGATCGCTGACTTCCATACTCATGAAAGAGATCCTACCAAAGTGGCTTGCATCATGATGGCCACAATGACAGCTAAACTCCAAAAGTCTTATGAGGATTTCTACCCTTATGAAATGCACCAAGATTTGATGGAAAGATACCATCAAAGTGCACGACAAGAGAGGTACGAAATTATCTGCTCCATGATAACAACCATGATGAAGGACGGGGATTCTGTCACGAGCCACATGCAGAAAATGCAAAGATATGTGGATCGATTGCTGAAGCTTAATGTGAACTTCCCTAAGGAGCTTGCAATAGATATAATTTTGCGCTCCTTACCATCGTGCTATGATCAATTCCGCATGACATATCACATGAATAAGGAAGAGGTCACACTCAGCAAACTTCAGGGACTTCTCAAGACTGTAGAATCAGGTCTTAAGGGGAAGTTGGTTGCTATCACTCCTACTCCAAACTCAACTCCGGTTTTGGTAATCGGGAAAAGTCGAGGGAGGAAGAGAAAGAGATCTTCGAAGGGTACCAAGGCTCGGACCCTTGATGGCTCTTCTTCAAGTGGAACCAAGAAAGGTTTCATACTCCTTCTTCTGACCCAAAAGAGGCTGAATGCTTCTATTGCCATGAAAAAGCTCTCATTGGAAGCGGAACTGCCAAAGTACCAGCAGGATGT